TTGCTTAATTTTCCGTAATCTGAATACCATTTGCAGCAAAATAAACTACCGTATTAATTCGAAATTAAATCAACAACTACCTCTAGAATGCAAACATGTCTATCCACCATCCCCACCTATCCACGTATCACCAACATTATAATAAAATTCTGTCTTCTCACTCATCTAGCAAGAAAAAAACTCGTGGCTTTCTTTCCCCTTGTTTATTCGCTATCGCTTTCTTCCGCGCTATTGAATTATCTATCACATTATGTCACTGTTGGTAACTGATATGAATGGGTTTCTTCTTGCCGTCTATGGTCCCTATTCACGTAGTTTTGTGTCTATTGTGATGAGCCAGATAGCCCTCTCCCTCTTTTATTAACATGAACGGTGTAGTAATATTCACTAAATATTGTGTCAACACGTGTAATTTAGGCATAAAGAATGGGGCTAAGCCAAGGAATACAGGTTGTTAGGGCGACCAGTAAAGAAATAAGCCCCAGAGGACGAACAAACATGGTGACATGCCAGAACATGAAGAAGCAAAGCCCCGTGAAATGCAAAACAACCTAATATATCTGGGGGAAGGTAGTCATCAGGAAAAATTATTCAATTTCGCTCTCTTGCGACGCGCGTCGAGACATCAGCTCGGTGTGCTGCGACTGGCTTTGGATGGGGCGCGCGGTGTTGGGATTTGTATTGTTTCAGGCGCAGCGACGGATGTATATAGGAGGAAGAGTGAAGAGTGGAATTGTGTTTGACACTTCTCAGAGTTCTAATAGCAGGAACGTCGAGAATGTCAAAAGTATTTTAACTATTAATTTTAATTTAGAATGAATTTTGTTCGGGAACGAAATTAGAATAGAGAAGAATCGCAGATGTTTATTGTACTGAACATTTCTGGTTGAACATTAGGTAGTCGCGAATAGATACCCACACGTGGTAGAGAATAGAAAAGTTTCGCGGAAGCATAATAAATTAGAGCAATTATTCGGCAAACCGGGAATGAACTAATAGAATCACGGATGACATTTTAATTAAAATTTGACGTTGCAAAATATTACCTTAGGAGGGACGATCGCCTCAACGAGGTGACGTCAAGAAAGAAGACGCATGGTGGCCATTGCAACCGGAATTCAATGTGCGCAAAGATATCAGTAAGCCATGAACTTTAAATTAACCTGTGCAGGAAGGATCATCAAATTTTCCTGGATCTTTTATCAAAAAAGAAATGGATACATTGGCACATGGGCACATTTAGTATTGTAATATTAAATTGTTAAATAAATGTTTGATTTATTTTGTAGGAGTAATGCTGATAATTTGTAGCCAGTTGCAATCAATTAAACAAATTACTTAATTAATATAACTTCCAGAAAACGCGAGTCTGTACAGACAGCATGTCTGCATACAGCAAGGTAAGGTCTAGCATGTCGCATGTCGATACTCACAAACAAGATCGTAATAAAATCAACCTTAATAAATACTCGTATTTCAATATAAAGTAAATCCATGAGCAGAGCAGGATATATCAGCAACGAAAATATTTATAGAAAATAATTGAAGTCTGTATAAATATTTATAGATAATTATTAAGTGACTTTCGATGGCGTGCGCAAGTGGGAAATAGTAATTAAATATTAATAGAGAGTAATTACCGTAATATTACACTATTGCTCATGAAAGAATGTCAATTGTAGGGTTGTTGATATACCTTTTCAAAAACAAGATATTCATCCTATCATGGCTTTCGTTTCATTTCAATAAAATATATATTTAAATTTAAGAGTTATTTTCCACTACGTTTTCTAACTCATTTTATTATTAAACGTAATCATACGTACTAGGGTTCGCCACAAAACATTTCGCCTTTGCACTACTAAACCAAGTATTTCTTGTTTGGATTAGAGTTAATGTTTTAATGTTAATATTTGAGAAGAGCAAAATAGTAACTTCGCCTTTCGTATAAATTACCCGCATACGAAACCTATGGTGTGGGTCGTTTCCGGGAAATTAAATCAATCAATCCAACAATATAATAAATAAATAATAATATAATAATAATAATAAATAAAAATATAATAATAATAAATAAATAAATAATAAATATAATAAATAATAAAATATAAATAATAAATAATAAATAAATAAATAAATAAAAATAATATAAATAAATAATAATAAATAAATAAATAAATAATATAAATAAATAATAAATAATAAAATAAATAAATAACAATAAATATATAATAAATTAAAAAAAAATAAATAAAGTAAAAAATAAATAATAATAAATAATAATAATAATAAATAAATGAAATAAATAAATAAATAAATAAATATAATAAATAAATTAAATAAAAGTAAATAAATGAAAAATATTTAATAATAATACATTTTTGCACGTTTTGAAAAATTTCCGTTCGAGCTTTATATGGGCAGATGCTGCTCGATATCGTACGTTTTGGCAAGAAAAGGGCGCTGAGGCGTGCCATAGCCCGGCAGGCCCCGTCCCCAATTAGCAGCGCCGGTTGGCGGCAGCGCGGCGGCAACGCGGGGCGGCGGCGGCCGGCGCGGCGGCGGCGCGGACGGCGGGCGGCGCGGGCGGCGCGGCGGCGCGGGGGGGCGGCGACTGGGGCGGCGTGAAGGACGGCGCGGCGCCGAGGCGACGAACGGTCGGGTGGGGCTGACTGCTTCGGTGGGTGGACGGGAAGAGCAAGGCCGAAGAATGGCGGAGAAGAGGACAGGAACAGACTGGGCCCGGGAAAGACGAGCAGCAACGAGCAACGACGGTGGACTTTGAGTGTCGTGAGGAATTGTCGTTATTGAAGTATTAATGCTAACTGTAGTTTTTTATAAATGTCCCAATAATTTCGTGAATGCGTGCGATAAACGAAGCTCATACTCTAAAATATTAAATAAAATATTTGTAAAATGTTATTCTCGAATCTAAGCATAACAATAAATTGATATCGGATAATTAAATCACCAAATTGATAAAGTAAACCATTCCAAGAATACAATAACAGGAACAAATTAAGTTTACTTTATAAGTGATTAGTATTCCAACAACACACATTTGTCATTCACTATTAAAGAAAATGTTCAATTCTTCGTGCTATCGTAACTTTTCAAAAAAGCCTTTGACAGTGATCGTACTCGCACTGGAGTGCGGGAAAGGTGCCAATGATTGATTTGGCGATTGATGCACTTAATTATTCCGCCCCACTCGAAACGTAAATGAATGTTAATGAGTGTTACTATTGCAGTGCTAGAAAGGGTTAGAAATAATTTACAGAAAACACTGAAAATAAGATTGCTAAATAAAAAACATTCTGAATGTTGTGAATTATCATTTTTTTAAGGGAAGGTGTAATCTGTACATGGTAATGAAAAAGATTTCCTTGGGCTATAGAATATTCCCTTAGACAATTTTAACGTGACAGTTTCGAAAGTAAACCCCTGTGTTCAAAGCGTGTACGACGCAAAAGTTTGTCCTTGGATGCCCGGCAACATCTCAACGAGAAACGCAGAATGACGAATGTAAATGTACGACAGTCTAAAACTGCCCTCTGGCTTCATGCTTTGACCAAAAAGTGTTGTTTTGTCGTCATCACAGCTCCGGGAAAGAGGCGTTGCGAAGCTTGATTTCGAGCGTTTAGTACCAACTTATGACAGCTTAAGAGGATTTTCATCATCACGTGGTCGTTATATTTACATACAGTTGATGACGGCATTGGTCCCTATTTTAGAAGAGGCATTGATTCCTTACAAATTGAAATGAAAAATGCATTTGATTATGCAGATGAAAAGTTGAATTCAATTTAATGAAAATGAACTTAATTATATCTAAAAATCATTGTGCAGTTCCCTTAAAACATATTTTGTAAAAGAAAATTCTTTTAAATATCATAAAGTGTTCCAAATAAAGAAATCTTACCTCTGCAACGCTAATGTTGCCGGAATAGTGATCAGCTACAGACACCACAGTCTCCACCAAATCCATTTGCAGGTGGATTATTATCGCATCCATCACTGGTGCATGATGAATGACAGCGAGGAGAACATCCACACTCGCTTATGGTGACGTATTTCTTCCAGAAGTTTCTATAGACACGGACGAAACTGACTTCATTTTCGTCCTGACAGTGAAATTTAACTTTTACAGATTTTTGAAACTTGCCTCATAAATTTGTAATATTCAGAATACATTACGTATCGTTATTAGAATATCTTATGTCTTAATGTTTGTTAGTTAATTAATGGTTGTTAGTTATGTAGCTTCTAGAATTTCCCAGTGTCTGAAAAAGTCTTTGCTGATAATTAGAGCCAGTTCCAGTTTGCTGCCTGGTCTTGCTCAAAGTAAATCTGTTCCAGTGCGTAGCGGGCGAGCAGGAGCGGGAGTGGGTTTGGCAGCGCTGGGCGGGGCTGGGCGGGG